TCCATCCCTCTGTCTCCCTCCCTTGTCTCCCTCCCTGTCTCAGCAATCCCTCCGTCCTCTCCCTCCATCCCTCTGTCTCCCTCCCTTGTCTCCCTCCCTGTCTCAGCAATCCCTCCGTCCTCTGTCTCCAGGTGGAGAAGTTCCTGGCCTCCAACACCCAGGAGCTGAGCAAAGACAAGTGGCTGTGTCCTCTGAGTGGGAAGAAGTTCAAGGTGAGTGTCGGCGCTGCTGTTCCCTGCTGTCTGGTTACCATGGTAACGGTGCTCCTTGCTGTTTAGGCTCCAGAGTTTGTCCGTAAACACATCCTGAACAAACACGGGGAAAAGGTCACCGCCGTCAGACAGGAAGTGGAGTTTTTTAACAACTACCTGCTGGACGCCAAGAGACCCGCCCTCCCTGAGAACAAGCCCCTCCCACTACCGACACAAGGTAACGCTCACCTTCTACCTGCCCTGCTTCTGCAGACATTTATTCTGTAGAGGTTTCCTGAAAGGCTAGGCTAGCATTAGCATCTAAATGGACTCTAACTGCTCCATCCTCTCCTCCTTCCAGCTGCTCCTCCTGGGATGGCAGCGTTTCCTGGTCAGTCTCCACAGCAGCAAAGCCTTCTGGGATATCCTCCTGGAGTCAGGCCTCCGATGCCGGGTTTCCCAGGTAGGATGGATGGATGATCAGCAATAGCTTTAGCATTCAGCTAGTTGCTTATCATCAATTGTCCTTTTCTCTAAACTAAACGCTGCTGCTAACGTCCATTTGATCTCCTTTATCTACTAAGAAAACATTTCCTGATATCTATGAAAGAGGCTCAATGAGTAAAAGGCAGGAGGAGCAGAGCTGAGAGGAGCAGAGCTGAGAGGAGCAGAGCTGAGAGGAGCAGAGCTCAGCCGGTCAGAGAGGAGCAGGAGGAGCAGGAGGAAGGAGCAAAGCCTCATTTCACTGCAGAGAGTAATCAGGGTTTCTGCAATAAAATTCATTAAATGTGATTATTGCGGCATTTAAAACGCTTTATTAAAAATAAACACTTTCCTCAGATATATCAGATATTGCTGATTCCTCGTGTTTGCGTGGAACCGCTTCCTGTTTATCGTAAAGCCGAATGTTCGATTAAGAAGGCGGAAAAAAAACCTAGAGAATTGTAAAATGCTCATTTTAACCAAAGTGGCTGAAAGCGAGGAACTGTGAGGCGGCTGCAGCCTGACGGCGCTAAAGATGATGGAAGGTTCTACTGGGATTCATTTAGAGATCAGTTTATTGGGATTAAAGGTTTAACTCTGAACATCAAAGACTCTGCAGGGTTTAACTCTCTCTCTCTGAGCAACTCGGCCGGTTTTATCTGCTAATGATGGTTGATGGACGCCCTGCTCCTCCTCCTGCTCCTCCTCCTCCTCCTCCTGCTCCTCCTCCTGCTCCTCCTCCTCCCGCTCCTCCTGCTCCTCAATGATAGAATCCTTGGTTCAGTCATCTCCAGGACGGAGCAGCTCCTCCTCTGATGGTCTCTCTCTGTGCTTCAGGTTTGGGACCCCACCTCCCCCCTGGCCAGTTTGGGGCGGGCCGCGGTCACTATGACAACTTCAGAGGCGGAGGGTTTCCAGGGAAACAGAGGAGCAGCAGGTAGGCGGGGTCTCTGAGGGAGGACGGCGGGTCTGATCCAGGAAGGTGTCTGACTGTGTCTTTGTGTTTAGGGGCATGAGAGGAGACCCCCGCTCCATCATCGAGTACCGGGACCTGGACGCCCCTGATGACCTGGACTTCTTCTAGCTCCGCCTCCTTTTTTACTTTTTTATTGTCAGCCCGTGTTAGCAGGACCAAGCATCGCTGATAGGGACCAAACTGATGGTGATCAGGACACTTTTCCAATAAAGACCAGAACAGAACCAGGCCGACTCCTCGTCTTCTGTCCCCTGTAGGTCTGTAGACCTCCATGGAGATCAGGTCCTCCCTGCTCCTCTCACCTTCATTAGAGCAGAAACAACAAGCCGCAGGAGGAACAGGAGGACCTGAAGGAAACATCTGGAAGGTTTCTACTGACCAGAGCTGAACTCCACTGGTCTGCTGGCAGGGAAGCTCTGGATC